TGACTTCCATAGAGTCCTCTGTTCTCCTATTCTTTCCAATACCTCTTCATTTCTAACCTTTTCTACCCACGATATCCTCATCATCCGCCTATAACACCACATTTCGAACGCTTCAAACGTTTTCTTTTCCGCCGCTCCCACTGTCCATGTTTCGCACCCGTACAACGCCGTGCTCCAAACATACACCTTTAACAACCTTTCTCGAATTTTCCAAACGAATGCATTTTCTTTTTCAGGGTGTAACTGTAATAACCATGCAACGAGTTGCCACTTTGATCCTGCGGTTTATGAACAAACTGGTAGAATAAGTGGAGGAGTTTGTGACGGTTGTCGTCACAACACGATGGGCCCCAACTGCGAACAGTGCAAACCATTCTACTACAGGGACCCCTTAAGAGACATCCAAGACCCAGAAGTGTGCAGACGTAAGAATTAATTTGGATACTCTTTTTCTCTCTTTGTTACGTTTAAATACTGGTTATTCCAGCTTGCGATTGTGATCCTGTGGGGTCGACGGATGCGGGTGCGTGTGACTCCACCACGGACCCTATAAACGGACTAGAAGCTGGTAAATGTCATTGTAAAACGAACGTCGAAGGTCGACGTTGCGACTACTGTAAAAACGGATTTTGGAACTTTACATCCGACAATCCCGATGGTTGTCAACCGTGCACGTGCGACATTTTGGGAACAATAGGTAATCAAGGATGTAACGCGTATTCAGGAGAGTGTACTTGCAAAAGATATGTAAAGGGAAGAAACTGTGACCAGTGTTTGCCAGAATATTGGGGACTTTCTGATAAACGGGACGGTTGCCAGGCGTGCGATTGCGATCCTGGTGGTTCGTACGATAACAACTGCGATGTTATAACTGGTCAGTGTAAATGTAGGGAACACATGACGGGACGTCAGTGCGACATTGCACAACAGCAACACTTCACAGCTTCTCTGGACTTCCTGCTATACGAAGCCGAATTAGCCCAAGGATCTGCTGTTAGTACTATCGTGTTCAAATTGTCTAATTAATTAATTTTTACCATATTTCAGACATGCCAGGTGGTTATTCGTGAACCATACAGAGACGGCAGACCTCCGTCATGGACTGGTACAGGATTTATGAAAGCGCCTGAAGGATCTTATATAGAATTCCAAATAACCAACATTAAAACGTCCATGGATTACGATATCGCAATAAGGTATGAGCCAACCCTTCCCGAAAATTGGAACGATGTGACCCTTACGGTAATACGACCGGATCCGATAGATCCCCAAGGTCCTTGTGCGTCTACACATCCTTCAGATGACACTAAAAGGGTTTCTTTGCCTTCTAATTCACGCAGCGCAATTGCGTTCCCACCAACGTGTTTGGAAGCCGGGAAGTCGTACATAGTTCGAATTGATTTCAACAATTACAAATACGGCACCTCAACACCTTCGGCGTCAATTCTCGTTGATTCTATTGTTCTTGTACCTCGAATTGAAAAAATCCCCTGGTTCCAAGGATCAGTGCCAGCTGAAGCACGTAGGCGAGAATATGAAGAACATCGTTGTGACATCGCTTTAGAAAACCCCAACATACCCCTTTCGGAGGTGTGCAAACAGCATCATAAGAGTATTGGAGCGTACATCTTCAATGGAGCATTTTCTTGTCAATGTGACCCAACTGGATCTACCAGCAAATTGTGTAACGATCATGGAGGAGCTTGTAGCTGCAAACTGAACGTTGTGGGAAGACGTTGTGATCGTTGCGCGCCAGGAACTTACGGTTTTGGTCCCGAAGGATGTAAAGCTTGTGACTGTAACAGTATTGGTGCTCTAAATAACTTTTGCAATGTCACAACCGGTCAATGTAAATGTAGATCGAATACTTATGGGCGCGAGTGTGATCAATGCCGTACAGGATTCTGGAATTTCCCTAATTGCGAACGATGCGACTGCAATGGGCATGCAGATATATGCGATTCTAGGACCGGAGTTTGTATAGACTGTAAAGACCATACCGAAGGACATCATTGCGATTATTGTAAAGAAGGATTTTATGGCGATCCGAGGATCGGATTCGACATTCCTTGCAGACCCTGTCCTTGCCCTGGGTTTAAAGAGGCATTCCACTCCTTTGCTGACAGGTGTATATTAGATTCACAGACCAAAGATGTGGTTTGTGAATGCAAGGAAGGTTACGCAGGTCAGTATGCAGTTACAAAAAAAAACAAAAAATAGTCTAAATTGCTTTCCTTCTTGTTCCAAGGATCAAAGTGTGACGTCTGCGCCGATAATTATTACGGAAATCCTGAGATTCCGGGCGGTTCGTGTCAACTTTGCGACTGTAGCAATAAAATTGATCCTCTAGTCCCTGGTAATTGCGATCCTCATACAGGAAAATGTCTTAGATGCCTTTATGATACTACCGGTGATCACTGCGAGATTTGTCGAGATGGATTCTTCAGGCTTTCAATCGACGATAACTGCCAACGTAATGAGTGTTACACATTTCTTTTATCAAAAACGAAAGTTATAATTCATTTTTAGCCTGCACATGTCAATTTTTGGGTACCAATGAAACTGCTGGTCCTTGTGATCGGGAAACTGGTCAATGTAAATGTCTACCAAATGTTATCGGCAAGGATTGCGATAAATGCGAAAAGAACCACTGGAAGATTGCTAGTGGTAAAGGCTGTGAACCTTGCGACTGCGATCCTTTGGGTTCCATGAATCCTCAGTGTAATGAAGTATGCATCTTTTTATTGGTGTATGGACACAATTTATTAACTTAATATTTTAGTATGAAGGTCAATGTTTGTGTAAGGAGAACTTTGGAGGAAGACAGTGTAATGAGTGCAGAGAAAACTATTGGGGAAATCCTAGAGAAGACAAATGTATCGGTAATAACTGCGCCTTGACTAAAATTCGGTAGTACCATTTTTATATCGTCGTACTTTTTTTTCAGAATGTCTTTGTAATCCAGAGGGATCAAAAACGCCTCAATGTGACAGAAAAACTGGTAACTGTGTTTGTCGTGAAGGAATTGGAGGACGATCTTGTGACGAATGCGCTAGGGGATATTTGGGTACCGCACCCTATTGTTCGCCTTGCGGCGAATGTTTCGACAACTGGGACCGTATTTTGAAGGAACACGAAAGTAATGTCATTCCTTCTAGACTTTTTCTCCATACTTCATACTTTTTCTACGATTTTAGATAAAACATTGCATATTATTGAAAGGGGAAAGAACATTAAAAAAATTGGGGCAACTGGAGCGTATACCAAAGAATTTGACGAAATGCAAAATCAACTGGACGAAATTGAACAACTTCTTAACAGTACCACAAACATAGACATCGATCAGATAGAAGACAAAATTAACAATCTAGCAAATCAAATTCAAGACGCGAAAGGGGAAAGTCCCGATGAACTCCTGAACAATGTCACAAAAGACATTAAGCTTTCTGAAATAAAATTGAATGAATTAAGGAAAGACATGGAAAAATTAGTTGCTCAAACCCAAGAATTAAGGAATAATGGTACCACACTTCAAGAAGCAGATGTCCAAGGGGCTTTAAATTTAGTTCGTATGGCTAAAGATAAAGCCGCAACAGCAGCACACAAGGCTGAACACACACAGGTACTATTTGAAAATCTCCTGAACATTATCTTGTTATTTAAATGTATACAATCTGAAATTTACAGTCGATAGTGGATTATGCGGAAAGACAATGTAAAGCAGCAGAGAACTTGGTAAATGTAACAGAAGCAGAATTCAAAAGAATGCAACAGGAAAACGAACAAGCACTTGATAGAATTAAAGAAAATATAACAAATTTAAATAATATGATACCGGAATTAAATAAACTTGTATGTGATGGTACCAGCAACAGTCCTGATGATTCGTGCGACTCCATATGTGGGGGTGCTGGATGTGGCAGTTGTGGCGAAAGTGTTTCTTGTCAGGATGGCGCAAAACAACAAGCTTTGTTCGCTCTCAGCTATGCAAATGACACAGAAAAGACGTTAAAGGAAAAGGAAGAAGCAGCCGAAAAGTTTTTCCGAAATGTGCGTCTATCACAATTAAATTTTTACAGACCAATTAATAAAATAGATTTTGTAGATAAGCCAATTGAACACCACGCAAGCTAAGAATTCGGCCCAAGAGACTCTCGATAAAGCAAATAAATTATATTCCAATTTCAATAATTCACTACAAGCTGTAAATAATATAAAGAAACAGATTGACGATTTTATTAATCAAAACAATTCTACTCCTGACGAGATAAGACAACTAGCCGAAAAGGTAAGTAATAAAGTTTAGAAAGAGTATATATTCGCAGACACACATTTAACATTTCATTCATTAGGTCCTTAAAAAAGACATCAATTTAACAAAAGAAGAAATTCAAACTCTTCAAAAGAAAATTCAGGAAGCTCTTGAAACATTAACGAATCCAGATAAGATTATATTAGAAACAAGGGATGACTTACAAAGAGTTCACAAATTAAAGGAAGATGCCGATAACGCAAAGTAAATCAACTTATTAATTACCGTGAGTTATACAGATTAAATTAAACATTTCTCATTTTAGAGCTAAGTCAAGCGACATTTTAAAAACTGCAGAAGGAATTAAAGAAGCTTTGCTGAACAGTAGCGTTGCGCAAAATGATGCAGATGAAGCAATAACAGACGCAAATAAAAATATTGACACAGTTCACGAACTATTAACAAAGGTATTTTAATTTAAGTTACTTTAGTTAAGTATTTTATTTTCTCTTTTGCTTCACAGATTGGTGCTATCGCCGAAGAAGCTCACAATAAGACACAAGAAACCAGTGGCAATATAAAAGATCTTTCGCGAAACCTTACAGATCTTCAAAATAACATGAGAAATAACGAAAGATTCGCCCAACGTGTTATCGAGGAGGCTGCCAAAGTACATCAAGAGGCGAATCACACAAACAAAACGGCTAATGAGCTTCTTAATAGGTATGATAATATTAAATACATGTTATCAAACACTTCTAGGGTTATTGAAGATTCAAAAGTGAAGGCTAATGAGCTGTCTGAGAGAGCCTACAATATAACACATAAAATTGAATCGACAGAGTCTGAAATTAAACAGCTAATTAGTAGCTCGTCTGATCAGTTATTAAAGAATCTAGAAAACGAGATCGATCAACTTATTAATCGAATGCATGCCTATAGTGCCGTAATTGAAGAAAGGCACAATCATTACAAGTCGTGCACTTAGTATGTGTAGTATTTAGGTAGTTTTATACGTTAATTTGTATTGACGATGTCTCTGTGCCATTTAATTAAGTTTTTTATAATGTGGATATTCAACTAATTTTTTATAGTTTACGAAATGTGTTATTATAGTGTTGTACATACTTTTATTTTTTCAACCGACATACATACTGTTACATATATTCAGTATTACATAGGTGCCTTAAGGACACTACATAAGCGACTTTTAGAANGGTTGGTAGTGAACTTGGTTTTAATTTTATAATGTTTCTTTCAGATTCAAACAATATTGAGAGTAATAGCATTGAACATGAAGTCAATGGTGATGCTCAAGGAATTTGCTTTTCCTTCAGAACACATTTATTTATTTATTTTTTATACATAGTATTTAGTTATAAATGACTATTAATTGAAGATCAGAATTTGTTAATAATATAGCGATGTACCAGAGTAGTTTGTTGCAAAACATTTCCTATCGTTATTTTTGCAAAATACTGTACACTAATTACATCACCCACTATAAGAAGAAATACAGTTTTAGATAATGACGACATTATGCTATAAATACACGTTGCTTACCAGATGTAATGCTGTAAGTTTGATTATCTATTGTGATATTTTTTAAACAAAGTTTACTATACTTTCCAAAAATTAATTTTTTAGACGATATTGTATGTACCTAGCTAATTAATAAGATGTAGTTACTATTACACGTACATATAATAGTATGTACGAATATTTAGTGAGTAGACCTTTTAGTCTTTATTTACTTATTAGTAGTTTTACTTGCCAAGCGAATAAAAAAAATTGTTATAATTATTAATCATTTATTTAGCAGAATGGATGAGCTAACACCCTTTCAAAGAAACGTAAGTATATTTACAGCATATACTTCTGAAAGCAGCTTGCTGTGACTGATCAAAAGTCAATGCGACTGCTATTTCACGTGCTCGCTGCACGTGAAGAAGTAAACGCTTACAAAAACAGCCAATCGCGTGCACAAACAGCAGCTGCAGGCTGCATTCACTAGATATTCGTCATTCGTACAGCAAGCTACATCGAGCACTATATGGTCTAAATGTCTGTAATTAGAGCTAATGATTAGCTTGTCTGTTATGAATTACAAACAATGACATCATTTGTTATCATTCACAATCGTATCGACTATGTATTGCACGTATAATGGTTAAGCTATTTCAACCAAAAGTTGTGTATATGATTTAATTAAAAACAGAATCATTACGTAAACGCAAGTCAGTGCCCGAACCACAAATTTATGTTTTCCGGTCGTTTTGAAGGGACTCAGCAATTATTCCTTTTTATCTCTAAATATAAATCAAACAAAAACCGAATTAATTCTAGTTGCTTATTTATTAAAAAGATAATAATCAAAGGAAGAAGTATTTTTTCTGAGTACTGTAGTAAAACTTGCACGTTTTTGACGCCTCTTAAATAAACCCTTACTTTTTTTTTACCACAAAAAAGTGCCCCTGGCGTATTTTAGCACAAAGATTATTGAAGATAACCCACTGCCTAATATAATTATTACATGTTGATTTAATTTTCGTACGAAAAAGATATACACACATGCTACATGTATTTAAAAAGTACTCCCGGATGCTGCATTATCTCAACAGAGGGAAGTTCACCGTTCGTCGGAAATGATAATTAATTTATTTGCGATACAATAACTGTTAAGCAGTATTAGTTTAAATAATAGTTCTTCATTGAAAAACTACAAATATTCTATTCTATTCATACTTAACTATTGTTAGATGAATTTATTAAATAATAAAATAAATAAGAAACCCGTGAGTGATCATTATTAAATTATTTAATAACATCTCAAAATTGTTTTTAATTAGTTTTCAGTTACGATAAAAAAAATTGAATTTCAACAGTTTTAATGAATACGATGTGACACATGAACAATTTCCGCGAACGAACCGACTTCCGCAGATCCCCCTGTAGATTTCCAAGCCTGCCATGTATTTCCTAAACTTTTGATCCTAAAAGCGTTCCCATAATCAGAAGAAGAAACAGTCAACTCAAGCCAAAGCACCGAGGCAGATACAGGCAAGAAAGAGTCGGAAAACATCTGCTGTGTTATTATAGTGTTGTACATACTTTTATTTTTTCAACCGACATACATACTGTTACATATATTCAGTATTACATAGGTGCCTTAAGGACACTACATAAGCGACTTTTAGAATACTTGTAGAATATTTGTGAAGAAAGAATACGGTCAATGAAATACTAATAGCGATACTACAATACAATATCTGGTAGTTTGAGCTCGTATCGAGCAGTCGAAAGCAGAAACAGAGCCAGAAGTTCACGAACCTCTCTAATAAATGTGTAGTTGTTAATAATACAATATTATTGTGGTGTGTGCATTTATTATTATGGTCGAGTGATTGCGTATATATGCTTATATATAGGTATGTTATTCTAATTACTGTTTTACACGTGTTTTTGAAGGCATATAAGTTTCATACAACATAATCTTAAATACTTTTTGAAAAATAAATCGCTAATTTATGGTTCTCTTGATTGTATTTGTTAATTATACTTTAATTCATAAGTATCTATACATTTCTATTTATCTATTTTTATAAATAGGCCTGTTTGTTTCTATAATGATTCTTCCTACTTCTTTCTCTTATTTTATATTTCTGTCTTTCTGTTTTCTAGCACTCGAACTCCTGCACTTACGGGGGTGGATCTGACTAACTTTCTATATTTTAAGCGGGTGGGAGGTAAACTATAGTCTTGTTCTCAAATTTTTTCCTTTTTTTTTTTCATTCATCAGGAAGTTAAACTATATATTAAAGTTCAGTAGAGCTACATATGTATGTAGACACAAAGTTATCAGCATTCCGATTTAAATTTCACGAACAAATGCATTTTTTCTTTTTGCAAATATTAGCTAATGTTTTAAATGTACTTTGTTTTATGCCATTAATTTATTTGTACACCTACAAAGAAGCTAGTAAATGAACGCGAAGGACTTACAGATTATCTTTCATCAAAGAAAATTGCAATTTGAGGATATAATTTACAAGCATTTTCATTTACTAAACATTGTACCATTTATAAATTCTCTAGGTCATTTTTATTAAAAAAATAATGTTCATGGGCCAATTAGGTACTTTAAGAAAGAAGAAGTTTTTATTTCCAAAAACAACTGCCATTGTATAATCAAAATAATATTAATTTAGACTCATTTTTTTAATTCAGTAAAATTGGTTTACTTGTATTTTAATTGTAGTAAATTTAAAAAAATGGTATTT